TGGGACAACAAGGTAATGAGTAATTGAACTGCAGTCAGAGAGAATATTGTTAAGCACGTGAGAAGTTCGTTAAAAATTATAGCGTTTGTTACAGAGTGACTGTTGAAGTTGAGTGTATCGTAAAGTTGTATTCGGAAAGAATAAACCAGTTTTATTTGAGAAAGGACTTGTGTCGCTAAAGTTTCGTCGGAACGAATTTACGGAAAATCAATTAACGAACGGAGATGTAACAAATTGGTGTCAGAGAGTGGGACAGATAAAAAAAAAAAAATGGAAACGAGAAGCGGCAAATCAAACTACAGCCTAGCAGACTTGATGGCAGCAATACAAGAACAGAAAAAGAAACAAGAGGAACGAGAAAAGAAACAAGATGAACGAGAAGAGAAATTACAACAGTTGTTAGAGGAAAAAGAAAAGAAACAAGAAGAGAGACAACAGCAGTTGCAAGAAAACCTGCAACAGTGGCAGCTCGAACAACAAAATAAACAAGAAGAGAGATTACAGCAGTTGTTAGAGGAAAAAAAAGAAACAAGAAGAAAAATTACAGCAGTGGCAAGAAAACCTACAACAATGGCAGCTCAAACAGCAAAATAAACAAAAGAGATTACAGCAGTTGTTGGAGGTAAAAGAAAAGAAACAAGAAGAGAGACTACTGCAGTGGCAACTGGAACAAGAATGGAAACAAGAAGTACAAAAGGAAAACATTAGTAAATTTAAAAGCGAATTAGATACATTAAAGGATGATTTATTGTTTTTTTACACAAGGAGGATACATTAACCATCGACTTAACCCAACTGCACCACCCGATTTCCTCAAGTTGTTGCTGAGGGATCAGTTCGTAGATGCCTTGGACAGTCCACAACTTAAGATACAAGTAAAGCAAGCACACCCCTCTACCATGCAGGATGCAATGGCCAGAGCTCTCGAATTTGAATCCTACATTAAGTCCAGCACAGAGGTACCGAGGTTGGTACAGTCATCTGGATTCAAGGCCAGAAAAGCTTTCAGAGAAGTTTGAGGGACTTTGCTGGTATTGTAACAAACCTGGGCACAAGAGAGCTCAATGCTGGCAACTTCAACACAGGGGAGATGCCACAGCAGGAAAGGCTGGTATCCAGAAAGGTTGTTGGAACTGTGGAAAGCACGGACATTTGAGGAGCCAGTGTAGGAAGAATATTACCAACAAGTCGGCCTCAAGAAGACCAGTAGTGGTTGGTGTTGAGTGACGCCCACCAACCCCCATCATGAAAGTACCAACAGCTAGGTGTAAAATGCCAAGCACACACAGTGTCTATGTGACAGGAAAGCTGGATGGCCATAGGTGCAACTTTGTCATAGACTCTGCATTTCAGCAAACCCTTGTGAGCGTCAAGGTGTTAAATCATGAAGGAGTACCAGAAG